AAATTAGTTAGTTAAACTCAGAAGTGGGTGACGAGAAATTTGGGGAAAAGAAAGAGATGCTTGCAAATGCAGTCTTTATTTTATCTGTCTGTGATTAATGGTGCCCTAATCAAGCCCTTCCTTCCCTTAGGGGGAACTACAGAACAGCTCCTTGCAGAGTGGGTTTCTTTAATCTTTATCTAGTTAGGTTTTAAATGTCCATCACCCCTTCTGGGAAACAATTCTGTTTCCCAAAGTTTTATGACTTGCTGGATCCTCTTAACACCACCATGCTGATTAATTTAAACAAACTTCTGATGCAGGACTTTTAGCATTACTGATACAGCATCTCTTTTATGTTTTATATGTTTGTTTGAATGTGTTGTATTCCCCAGTTTCACTAAAGCATGGTTTAAAAGTATTTTTTAACAATACAGAATTGTTATGAAAATGAGCTGACTAGTGAGTCTGATAGAAGGAATTTGCTCTGAGTCAACAGTGGCAATTTGCAAGCATTGACTAATGAATTCCATAATCCATGCAGCACCTCTGTGAATAAGGGAAGAAAGCTCCATTATCACTAATATGCATCGAGGATTCAAACATGAGAGGGACAGCTGCTGCGTAAGAGTCTAAATGGATATGGAATACAAGTTGGGAATTCCTGGTGCTTGTTTCTCTGCTTAGAAAAACTGTATCTCGCCTCTGCTTAGCATGTCTCAGTTGTCTGTACAGAGACAAGAGCAGCGGGTTTTTTTACAGCAAGCATGAATGTGGTAGGCCATTACAACCTCTGACAGAAAAATTCAATGAGACAATAAAAGGATATTTTTTTTTTTCTTTCCTCTTTGATTGACTGGGGAAAGAGTTTGCCAAAACATCTGTCAATACCATAACATTCTGTAAAATAAAGCAGGAATAATTAAAAGGTGCAGTAAGGTCTTATTTTAGTTATTTTTCTTGTTTTCCTTTTTAAAGTATATTACAAATCCAGGAAAGCCCCTCTGGGGACAGTGTTCTCTCCCCTGGTATGCACATCCCCTGTTGAGGCATCTCAGTGTTTCTCTCTGGGCCTTGCCACAGCTGCTCCATTACTCCCGTCACACAGCTTGTCAGATGATGCCACTGCACGGATCTACTTTTACACAAGGTGCCTTTAAGCAATATTTTTTTCCTGAATAGATTCTGGCATCTCAAGTGTTTTCTCATGGGTTTTCCAAGCCCCCCACTGCTATGCAACCTGTGTTACTGGCACTGAGTACTACTCACAAATTGGCGCCGCCTTTTCCTTCAGAATATCGCATTGTTTTTGTTTTAACACATGGTTACAAGTGGGTGTTATCAAGCTTAAGAAGGTATGTCTGGACTTTGATTTGGCATCCAGGAATGACCTTTGCAGAGCACCTGATGGACTTGAGCATAGACAGACAAGGGACCAAATGCTGGAAATGCCAGAAAAGTGGGTTTTCTTAAGACTGGAGTCCCAGCTGGTATGTGTAAATGATTGTGTTTATGGGCCTTCCTGGTTTTATGGGCGTATAATCAAGGAGATGAATATTCTGGATAATACAACCAAATCAGATGTGAGGAAAGGGAAGAAAAAAAAAAGTCTAAATCTATTCCTCTGTCGCTCACACAGAATTCTGTCTGCCTTAAGCTGCATGGTGAGTATATCCCAGTTTTCCAGGCTACCATGCCTTTTGAGAAGCAATGCTTCTGTTTACAAAGCCTATTATGAAATGGCGGTGAATAACAAAAAAAGAGCAAGAGGAAGATACGAAGAAGTGCAAATGAAATGGCCGAGCTCAGGAGTGGCAGGTGGAGCTGAATTGTTCTTCTGCCACTGTCGTCTCTTCTGGAGGAACCATCCTTACCTCTGCCTGTTTCCCTGCCAGCCCTGCTCTCATTTGGTCTAACTGCACTGGTATTTCTGTGGAGTAAACCAAGTCTCTCTCTGACTACCTCTTTCCCCCTGCAAATGTGACCTGTACCTAGAGGCTCTGAACTAAAAGTCTCTACTTGGTAGTAATATCAACAACAATAAAGCTACTCCATTTTCATTGCCAAAGCTTACGTTTCTCTTCTAGCACAGAGACAAACTATTTCATAAAAACCTCACAAATTCTTGAATTATTCAAAACTGATAGCATACCCATAACACCTTGTGAGTAGCTAGAGGTACCTTTTGACTGATGTGCTATTTATTATGAATTATTTGCTCAGTGTTTATTATATGAATGAATGATTATGTCCCACTTTCACAATAAACTTCTAGTTGGATTTTCTCATAAAAATTAGACTCTGGGGAGAAATACAAAACATACAGCAATCCCTGAATGCCACCCTGAAATACTGCCAAGTGTGTATACCTGAGATGTCTATTGGGCTGCACAGAGCCAGAAGAGGAAGCCTGGAAAAACTCAAAGCTGGGAGTGCAGTTCATCCAACTCCTGCTCAGCATAAGGGCCATGAGGAGGGGCGTTAGGTTTAGTCTGTTCAGCCTTGGGTCACATACCAGCCATTTACTACAGGTTGGGTGGCCAACATGCGTTCTGGCAAGCTGTGCAGCAAGCAGCGTGTTTCAATTTCACTTGTCTAGACAGGGTTTTCAGTTGCCCCGTTCTGGCAGGCAACTTGAGATTTCATACCTTGATCTTATCGTGCCGTGCTGAGTTTACTTCAGAGAGAACACCTGCAGCCTGAGTGTGTGGATTCAGCGGGAGCTGCAAATCCAGAGCACCTCTGAGGATTTGGACCTCTGTCCTTGACAGGGGCTGCTAGGAGCGGCGCTGCCTGATGTGCCATGCTTTTGCAATATCTCAGTGTATTTCAACACTTTGGAATTGTGGATTTCCAGCAGAGGCTTGGATCCTTTCAGGTAGCTTGTGTGTTGACAGCTATAGACCAGCCTTGCTTTTTTGCTACCTTCTGTGAAACACGAGTGGAAAACATCTGCTCTAATTTGCCAGGAAATTCACTTAAGAACACCAGATTCTTTACATATTGTCCTCCCACTGGCGAGCAGCTCTCAGAGATGACAATTACAGTAGATTTAAAGCAGTGGTTTGAGCAGGTGGCTAGTTTGCACAAACTTTCACCAAAATAGTCACACTGGTTGCGGTTCTCACTGAGTGAAGTGTGGGTGCAGGTGAGTGTATGCGAATAGTCCAACTGTTGACACTGTTATTATTTGTACCAGAACAGTGCCTTGGGCCAAACAAGAACAGGTCTCCCTTGTACCAGGTACCCTAGGAACTGCTAGAAACAGACAGTTCCTGCAGTAGAGAGCTTATATCTAAACAAAGCTGCCCTTTTAAAATTTGGTTTGCAAGTATTTTTTTTCCCCCCTATTATTATTATTATTGTTTTTATTGCAGATCCACACATATTTACAGGTATGAGTAGATCTGGTTTTATTTCAGTGTAAATGTGTGCGTCATTCACCCCTAGCAGTATATGGTATACAAAGCTCTGTGGGAACTGCCTGTAATGTTCAGTGTGTAATGACCAGTCAGTTTGTTTAAGTTCAGGAGGTAAGTAATTACCAGGGCTATGAGATACTGACAATTTGAACCTCTATAAAAGAGATTTTTGTCTTCCTGTTGGTTGTATTATTCATGTCATTAAGTGACTGTCTTTCTTATAACCTTTGCCAAATTGCTCAATTCTGCATCATTGTATCAGCTGGTACTTAGGAGTACTCTGGAGACTTCCTAGCTTTTTATAAATAATTTTGATGCTAACATGCAACAAAAGTATCCCTCAAATTTGCCAGTAATTGATAGGTTACAAAAACCTTGCCTCCTGAAAGTGTTTAAACAGCAATTCTCCTGTCGAATGCAAGCCTATTTCAACACAACAGCACTGTAATAACACACGTGATGGACATGCTCGCAGCAATTGTGGTCCAGCCAGTCACGTATTGTCTTTGACAGCAGCCACTACAAAAGGCTTTATGGCAAAGGCTCCCAAACCCTCCTAGTTGCAGCTCGCCTCTCCAACAGATAATCTGTGCCACTCGTGATGCGAACACATCAGATGAAAGTGCTTTCTCTTGGGCGGGCTCATGACTCTGCTTGTAACTGCTGGAACCTCACTTGGCACGGTGACCTCTCATTTGAGAACTATTGTACTGGGAGATGCTGCAAGAAGCCCAACTGCAGGTACACACTGTGAAATAATCAGCTTGTCACTGGACAGATCATCCTTTTCCCAACCTCCTTCAATTAAGAGACGAGCTCAAAACATTTAAGCACGAAGGTTCATACTTTATCCAAAGATTTTGCTAGCATCAAGTAAAGAAGCCTTGTAAATACCTTCTAAATGCTAGACCTTGGCAGTACCCACTACGATGAGTTTCAGTTTACTGGCATGTGCATGTATTATATAAAATGCAATGTTTCTGTTGGTCCTAACCTGGCTGTTCAAATGACGAAACTGGAAACGGGACTCGAGTTCTACTGCTTTTAAATAGCTGAGAAAAAAGCAAGTTTAAATGGTACCATTTGTCTTGACGTGGCATCCATATTGCACACAGCGTTACTGAGCTGTTAAGTGGTTTAGAGGTCTTAGAAGGGAGTTAATTTTTTAATTAGGGGTTGGGCACTTTTTAAAAAAATTTTTTTTGGTAAACGATTGTTCTGCTTCATGGGCGATTGGAGGATACTCAACATCCATTCCCGCGTTGGTGCTTCAGGGGAATGCAGCAGTTGCCAGTCCCCCCCCGATAAAGCCAGAAGAAAAGGAAGACCAGTGGGAGCCACCGGTGAAGCGACAGCGACCAGGCACGGGGCTTCCGTCGCCGTTTTCTGCAGCGGTTGCACAACAGCTTAACGCCAGAGCGAAGATGCTCAAACTCAAGCTTTAACGCGCCATCACCTTACTGCTTCCCTTCTCTCTCCTCCCCACGGCGACCACCCACCCTCCGCCCTACTCCGAGCTCCTATTTGCGCGGGGGCTGAAAGAAAAGGGAGATTTTTCCGCACTAAACACCCCCCCACACACACACCCCTTTTCCTCACGTTTTCCCCCGCAGCGCTGGGGGGGGGGGTGTCCTCTCACGGCCGATGGGATGCGGGGCAGAGTGTGCCTGAACACCTACAGCCCTTCCCAGGCGGCGACGCCCCCGGCCCCCTTCAGCCTCGTCCGGGGGCGTCGCGACCCTTCTGAGGGGAAGAGGCGGGAAGGGGAGGGGCGCGCGCGGGGCGCTTCCCGCGCACCTCGCGCGGCCGCCGCCGCTTGCCCTCAGCGGCTCCGCGGCCCATTGACGTCAGGGAGAGGCGGCACATGACCCCTCCGGAACCAATCGGCTGCGCCCGCAGCCGCTCCGGCGAGGGGCCCGTCGGCAGCGGCTCCGCTCCTCTCGCCGCCTCCTCCCGCGGCGGCGGCGGCGCGCGTGGACACACACGCACACACACACATACATACACCCACCCACACCCACACACACATACACACCCCCCCCCTCACCTCACACACCTCCTCACACACACACCCCCCGCACCCACGGGCGCACACACGCACCCACATACATGCCCACGCGCGCCCGCCGCCGCACGCTCTCGCGCACACGCCCCGGGGGGAAGGAAGGAGCCGCGGCCGGACGCCCCGCAGCCCCCCCCGCCGCCGCCGCCAGGAGCCCCCGCCGCCGCCGCCGCCGGCTTTTGTCTGCCGCCCCCGCCGGTAGCCGACCCTCCGCTCGGCCGGCGGCCGCCCGGGAGCATGGACGCGGCGCTCTGAGAGCCGCGAGGGGGACCCGCCGGGGGCGGATTTGGAAGTTTGAATAAGGATTTTTATCGCTTCCCTTTCCCCCTTCTCCCCCCTCCGGTGCGGCTCAATCCCTTCCCCCATCTTCTCTGACAGGGTTTTTTTTTCCCCTCCTTCCCTTTCAGCTTTTTTTTTTTTTTTTTTTTTTTTAATCCTCCGCGTGGGGTTGGATTTTTTTTTTTTTTCCAATTATTATTTTTTATTTGATTTGGTTACACCCGTCTCTACCCGCCCGTAGAGACCGGTCTCCCCGGGCGGCCGCCGCCGAGCGCCACCCCCGACCCGCGGGGCTGCCATGGATCGCACCGGCGGCTCCGGCGGGGGCAGCGACCGCAGGCAGACCGAGGAAAGCAAGCCGCTGCTGGGCGAGATGTCCGCTCCCGAGGGGAATAAAATGGGTGCCGCGCCGTGCCGGAGAGCCCTGCTCCACTGCAACGGCATGAGGTACAAGCTGCTGCAGGAGGGGGACATCCAGGTGTGTGTCATCCGGCACCCCCGGACGTTTCTCAGCAAGATCCTCACCTCGAAGTTCCTGCGGCGGTGGGAGCCGCACCACTTGACGCTGGCGGACAACAGCGTCGCCTCGGCCACGGTAAGAGCCCGGCCGGGCCCGCCGCCACCGCCGCGGGGGGCGGCCCCGGCCCCGGCGGCTTCCCCGCTCCGCGGGGCATCGGCGGGACCGGGGGGGGGGGAGGGGGGGGAATGCCTGCGCCTTTGTGTCGCGATCGCCGCGCTACCGGCCCGTGCGGGGACCCCCCCGAGGGGGGGTCGGTGGTGGTGGTGGGGGGGCTCGGTTTGAGTCAATCCCGGAATGCCTGTGGGGATTTTTTTTTTTTTTTTCTTCTTTGTAATCCTAGGGATATTTAATTTTGCAGTTTCGGTGGTTTTTTTTTTTCGAGCAAGTCTAGCTGTTGTTATGATTATCATTATTATTTATTATTATTGTTGTTATTATTGCTTTTTCCTTTTTTTTTTTTTTTTTTTTTAATTCCTCCTTTCTCAACATGACACTGACACGAAATCGCCACACTGAGCCATTTCTATCGAAACCAAAGCCGGCAGATACCTGCTGGCACGTTGGCCAAGTTGGAGGTGAGGGAGGTGGAAGATGCTTTTAATTTGAGAGCAAAGACTCGGGGTTTGCACGGTCTCTCCTCTGCTTTGTTTTAGGCCTGGTTTTGGGGAGCTCATTTGGCGGTCACATACCCTACCCAGACACAGGCAGTATGATCATAAAATATGGAGATTCCTTCAGGGTTTTCTTCCTAATGGAACATGATGTAAGAGAAAAATGTAAGGTGGTGATATCAACACTACAAACGATGTACATTAGACGGGTACAAGCTTTAAAAATACGGTTTATATTTTCATGTACAACTTAAAATCTCATGGCCAGTATTATTTGAACATTCGTATAGTATGTGATGTGACTACACCCAAATTTCATCTAATAGCAATTAACACAGCTCACAAAATGTGCTTTACACTGATTTTTCATCATTCAGTACTTCAATCATGTTGCTTTTTTATTTCTATGTAAATGTCTCATTTTTCTCAATGGCTTCATTCTGGCCTTCCTATAGGACACTTGTGATAGGAGAGAGTGGATTGGCTTTTGTGTAGATTTCTGTTAATGGTGCATTTAAATGGGTTGCATGCAGACTGTGCTGTGCTCAGAGGTTGGATTTTTTCACACTTGGGTATGCAGGCACATAATGTGTATAAATGCCTCTCCTGCATCATGATCTGCTGTGGAATATTTAAAGCAGGTTTTTAGTGGGAGCTACTTTAACCTTCAGGTAGGCCAGCTGCATATTCTCACGGAGCTCTTTTTTGTGCCACAATGACATCTCTGCTTACCATGTCCACTGGGCTGTCGCGGATGCTTCCGAGGGAATATTTTTCTTTCTGTGATAGAACTACTGTGTAAAGGGGAAAGGAAGACTCAGTTGAGTGTTGCTGGAGAAAACCCCTGAAAGATATGAGCACAAGGAGTTTTTGCAGTTCTTCATTTTATTGAGATACCATCAGCGTAGAGGGGAAGTTGAATATCAGTGGAGATGAGGCATTTTCCTGGCACTTTCCATAGCCGTTTATTTTTGAGCATGGGAGAAGGATACTGGTAGAGAGAGGCATGATCATGCTTCAGACGTTAATCTCTGCAATGTGGCAATACTAGGCATGAAGTTGTATTTGTACAGGAGACGTCAAACTGCTCGCTGGCAAAGCTGTCACCAAAGAAACCATCTGAAAAAATTTCTAAAGTCCTATGGGGTTGTGCTTTAATTAACATTGAGGTGTTCTCATTCCTAATTATTTTATGTATATAAATAGCAGGAAGATACTAAAACATTGTACGTACCATTGCAGGCTCCATTTTGTTAAGCAGTGCTCTTTGTGCTTGGTCTTGCGCCTTATCATTTTTTTTCCAGCACTAACTCACCAAGTAAATACCGTTGTTCGCAGAAATATCTGTGCTTTATTATTTCAAGTAGTGTCTTTGGTTTCCAGGGAGTAATTAGGGCACTAAGATAAGATCCATGTTCACTTGTTGCCTGAATATATGGGTATGTTTAGCAGGTATCTTTCAGACATTGGTTCTGTGGTATCTAGATTTTACTCTTATTTTGGAGCTGAAAAGATGTGATTTAAGCAAAATATGTGATAGTTTAACCCCCACTCCCTACAGAAGTGGGGTATGGTCATAGTGCCAAAACCTCATGAAACTGTAGGTAGATATTTAAATGCAACTAATTTTGTTTTCAAGAGCTGTGGAAAAATATCCATACCGTCCATTGAAAGTGAGCATTGGGAGCACTCAACAACTTTGATAACAAGGTCATTTTTACACGTAGGGCTTTCCACAGGCAGGGTGCTTTATGAGCAGCCAGTAATTAATCTTCACATCATCCCTTTGCAAATCCTCTGGCATGACGGGTTTTACTGCATTCTATATAACATGAATGAAATTGAACAGGAAAATAACATCACTTTGTTTTGCATTTGAAAGCAAAAGTTATAATGACAGCTAAATCCAGATCTGGCAAATTATGTCCCTGAGTACAGTGGATAAGTTATTTGTTGGTTCTAGGAACTTTCTATCCTTTTATTGTCACTTGAGACATATATTTAAACTAAAGCCTTCTCCCCACAAGCTCTTACTTGTCAGTATCTGGGCTGAAATATAGGAGGTAGCATTAGTTTGTGTATGGAATATTCATCTGCAGTTTTTTCCACAAGTAGATACTGTATGTGCCCACATATAAGTCTGAATAATGAGACCCTACCTACAATTTTTATGCAAGAGGTAACTACTTCCATTGTTTAATTAGGCAGTTATATGTTTTGTGCTGACATGATAGCTTTCCATAGCAGAAGCACTATGCAAGAATGCAATGGAACAAGTCTTAGGCCATCTTATTTTAGAAAAATTTAGGGAGGAAAAAAAATATTTTCTACAAACTCCTTTTTCGAACATTATCACAGGCAACTGTTTCAATGAAAATAAGTATTCTGAATGTGTGCTCAGTTAACAAATGGAAAGGTATTAGCTTGTGGAGTGTAGAGTCCCATAACTGTAGGTGTTGGGACTTTATCCGATTCACGTGTTGTTTCCATTGTTTGGTTCATGTTTCTAATTTCTTAAGAATGGGTTAAATATGGTACAGTTTCACCATTACAGATTTACTCACATCTTGTCCAGGCTTTCATTCCGGTTAAGTTTTTTTTGGTGAACGTAAATACAGATCTATAACTTTTTTTTTTTTTTTTTATGTGAATGCTGAAGTCCCAGTAGGAAATTTTGATACTTAGAAACTTTGTTTGCTAGACAACAGCTTGCCTGGGGATGAATCTGACTTTCTCCCCCGTGGGAGGAATAATATTTATTTTATAAACACCTACAAACTCAAATGTAGCACCCTTACTAGTTTTTTTTTTTTTTTCCAGTGAGATCTGTCCTTGCACAGCTTGAAGGGCAATGATAGTAAAAACAAAGACAGAAATAAAATCCAATTTAATATTCCTTGTGTGATTTTTATTTTTTTTTTTTGTGTGTGTGTGTGTGAAGAATAACCCTGTGGCTATCTTCAACAGAAATGTTAAAATTTAATTTTCAGTGGTTTAAAGGTAGCTGTCATAACTGAACTTCAATGCCTTTAATATCCTTCTGCCTCGTCCCTTTCATGTCTCTGCCCTGCTTTTCCGTTTCATTCTTTTTCTTGCACCAGTTGGGAATAGATGTTTAGGACAATGAGTTTTAAAGTACTGGGTTGCAAGAAAGATTTGTGTTACATATGTATGTGCAGCAGACAGGAAAGGAATAAATAAGCGATTCATTTTTGCTGGCTAGGGATGACCTCTCTAATTCCCATCTGGAAGATAAGACATAATTGAAACCATGAAGTTACTCATTAATATCCCTCAAGGAGGTGGAAACTTTGGCTTTTCATGCCCATTTCACAT